GATTTTATTTAGGGACGATTTTAAGTATAATTTTAATTGGAACACAGCCTCTAATATTTGGTTTTTAATTTGGTTTTAGAAGGGTTTTATTTTTGTATATTGTTATTGTATCTGTTTTTAATATGCTGTGCACCGCCCTGAGTCCTGCGGGAGAAGGGCGGTATAGAAATTAAAATAATAATAATAATAATAATAATTTTTAGCGCTCGGGAAAATACGAACTGCACGGAGGAGAACGTAGCATTTAAAGAAGGGAGAAAAATGGATGTGAGAGCAATTTCAGAAGCCGATTAAAAATTTAAAAGGAAGGAGAAGGAGGAGGAAGTATCTCAAAAGGCAAACAGGAACCAATAATTATAATGAAGAAGATCCGAGAGGCGACATTTCCTCCCCTAGTGCGTAAGATACATTGGGAAGCCCCTACCTATTTTATCACGTTGTGGTGTCTTTACAATAAAACGTCCCTCTGCACCAGTTAACTAACACAATAAAAGTGGACTGAGAGAGAACGCTCGGTACATGGAAGCTGGTTATTAACTGATAAAATATGCCAACCCAATTAAGGGACGTTTTTTCCATTAGTGTTATTATTATTACGTGCTACAGCAGAGGTCCACAACCTTTTGGGCACCAGGGACCGGTTCCGTGGAGAAAGGTTTTTTTCACGGTCCGGAGGGTGTGTGGTTTTGTGTGCTGCCTGCATCTCGCGGATGGGGCTTTGCTTGTTTGTGCAGACCGGTTGCTGGCATGCCGCAGCTCGGTACTGGTCCTCGACCCCGGGGGTTGGGGACCCCTGGTTTAGATTACAGAATACAGTTGAAAGGGACCTGCTCAAGCAGGAGACCCTACAGCAGTGATGGCGAACCTTTTAGAGACCGAGTGCCCAAACTGCAATCCAAAATCCACTTATTTATCGTAAAGTGACAATGCGGCAATTGAATCTGAATACTGAGGTTTTAGTTTAGAAAAAAACAACTCGTACATTAACATCTTTGGTTTTAAAAGAAAAACATAATGACAAAGCTTTCAATGATGCAAACAATTTTTTACTGAAAGGTAAAAGTTTGCATTTGGCATGCTTTTGAACAATTCATCTGATTTTCGCTGTGGTATGCCTGCTGATAATTTGTCTAACCTTGGCTCATACTTTGTAAGTTTGAGAGAAACACAGGCAGCACTCAGGTCATCTGTTAGTTTGTTTCTGGCGTCAGATTTGATATAATTCAAAGCTGAAAACAGCGTGCTCGCTCTGAAGGCTTGTTTTGGCTAGGAAGGGGCTTGAGAAATGCCTTTTTTCTGCGAAAACTTAGACAAAGAGCGAGGCGCGCGTGCCCACAGAGAGGGCTCCGAGTGCCCCCTCTGGCATGCTTGCCATAGGTTCACCACCACTGCCCTGTACCCTTTCAGATAGGTGGCTGTCCAGTCTCTTCTTAAAAACCTCTGGTGATGGAACACCTACAACTTCTGAAGGCAAGTCATTCCACTGGTTAATTGTTCTCACTGTCAGGAAGTTTCTCCTTAATTGCACTTTGCTTCTCTCCTTGATTAGTTTCAATCCATTGTTCCTTCTCTTCTAACCCAACCCCCTGCTCAAGCAGGAGACCCTATACCAGTGATGGCAAACCTTTTAGAGACCGAGTGCCCAAACCACAACCCAAAACCCACTTATTTATCACAAAGTGCCAGGGCCGCATCAGCATTGTGGTGCCCTCAGGGGGGCAGGGAAGCAACTTTTGAGTGCTGCCTCTGGCATGCAAAAACTGGGGGTGCAAAGATGGCCACCACCACACCATGGGGTATAGATACAAGGCGCTGCATCACGCAAAAACAGGGCAGGGCTAGTATCACGCAGGCATTAGCCCCGCGTGCACATGCACGCATGTAAAAGGCTTCCCCTTCCCTTTTCTTCCAGTCCACCAATCGACAGTGGTTGATGACCTCTGCTCTACTACCTTTACTCGAGCTTGCCAGTCGATTGCTTCACGTCCTTTGTGCTGGGTGGGGCTCCTGCTCTGAGCGGCGGTGGCAGCCTGATGGACCTGCTGTTGGCAGCGACGGCGCACGTGCCAACAGAGAGGGCTCTGAGTGCCACCTCTGGCACGCATGCCATAGGTTCACCACCAGTGCCCTAGAGCCTAGACCATTTCAGACAAATGACTGCCCAATCTCTTCTTAAATTTCTCCAGTGATGGAGCACCCACAACTTCTGAAGGCAACTTCTGTTCCGCTGGTTAATTGTCCTCACTGTTAGGAAGTTTCTCCTTAATTCCAGGTTGCTTCTCTCCTTGAGTAGTTTCCATCTGTTGTTTGTTGTCCTGCCTTCAGCTGCTTTAGAAAATAAGTTGATCCCCCCTCCTCTTTGTGGCAACCTCTCAAACTTCCCAACAGGGAGGACAATTAACCAGTGGAACAGCTCGACTTCAGAAATGGTGGGTGCTTCATCACTGGAGGTTTTTAAGAAGAGACTGGACAGTCACTTCTCTGAAATGGTATAGGGCAGTGGTGGCGAACCTATGGCATGCATGCCAGAGGCGGCATTCGGAGCCCTCTCTGTGGGCACACATGCCGTTGCCCAAGCCTCGCCTCCCCCCGCGACCCTCTCCAGCAGCCCCCCTGAAGGAGAGTCGCCCCCGAGCGTGGCCCACACGGAGCAGCGCAGCCAAGGACATGGCAGCCAGACAGCGTAGACAAGACTCTGCCCTCACACCCCATCATGCAGTGGATGCTGCAGGGCGCGGGCAGAGGTGTGGCCGACATAGCGCTGCTAGGCTGCCTGGCTGATCTGCGGCGGGCCCTGGAAGCAGTGAGTGGTCCTGTGGGCAGGCCGGGTGGGGATGGGGGGGCAGAACGGCGGCGGGGCAGGGAGTGGAGCGGGGCGGGGCCAGTTTTTGCACACTCGGTCTCTAAAAGGTTCGCCATCACTGATATAGGGTCTCCTGGTCGAGCAGGGGGCTCTCCCAAGTCCCTTCCAGCTCTATTCTGATTGATTGAATAAAGACTACCTTTATTCTTTTCTGTAAGAGGCAAGTGGTATCTGAAGATCCATCATCAAGTAACCCAATTTGGGAATATTAGCCTAAGACAGGGGTAGGCAACCTTGGCTCTTTTATGACTCGTGGACTTCAACTCCCAGAATTCCTGAGCCAGCCATGCTGAAGGGAAAGGGAGAGGTTTCCATGCTGAGCAATGGCTGGCTCAGGAATTCTGGGAGTTGAAGTCCACGAGTCATAAAAGAGCCAAGGTTGCCTACCCCTTCACTAGTACATAAACAGAGAGCAAACACCACTCCCTTCTAGCATTGATGATGTTACATAGTTGGGCAATGAACATCTGCAAAAAAGTCACCAAGTTCAGAGCACAAACAAGGGTTATATTCACACAGCACACTGGTCACAGACACAAATTAAGCTGTATACTAGGTTTCCTGTTACATGGAGTCAAAAACTAATCAAACTTGCTTTTGCACAAGACGCCAAATCTCCTTCACCACAAAAGAAGCCTTAACCAAAGTTAAAAAAATCCAAACAGGTTAGCCCAGGGGTAGGCAACCTTGGCTCTTTTATGACTCATGGACTTCAACTCCCAGAATTCCTGAGCCAGCATGGAGGAACTATGGTCCCTTCATGACTCGTGGACTTCAACTCCCAGAATTCCTGAGCCAGCATGGGGGAATTATCGTCCCTTCATGACTCGTGGACTTCAACTCCCAGAATTCCTGAGCCAGCATGGGGGAACTATGGTTCCTTCATGACTCGCGGACTTCAACTCCCAGAATTCCTGAGCCAGCATGAGGGAAACTTTGGCCCCTTCATGACTTGTGGACTTCAACTCCCAGAATTCCTGAGCCGGCATGGCTCAGCTTGGAAACCTCTCCCTTTCCCCTCAGCATGGCTGGCTCAGGAATTCTGGGAGTTGAAGCCCACGAGTCATAAAAGAGCCAAGGTGGCCTACCCCTGGCCTAAGAAGTTAAAAGATCCTAGTTTTACAGACAGTCAAATCAAGCTGAAGTGGGTCAATCTGGAACAGAAACTGCTAGAAATAATAATAATAATAATAATAATAATAATAATAATAATAATAATAATAATAATAATAATAATAATAATAATAATAATAATAATAATAATAATAATAATAATAATAATAATAATAATAGATTTTGTACGTAAGGGTGTGGATAGCAGAAGAAGAAAACTGAAGAAGCTTTAATAAAGAGAGCTTAAAATTGCACCAAAGTCATTTTATTAGATTTGGCAGATAAAGTCAACATACATTATGTTTTTCTATGGAAAGCGAAATCTGTCGCTCTCTCCCTGTCAGGCATTTGAAGTCCATCACTGATGTCTTTAAGAACTTGGTTTTGTTCTAAGGTCCAGATCCGCTGAGACCTTGTTAGGATCCCATTTTCTAAACTGTAGGAATTAACCTACTCTTAAAAGGAAGGTCTGACTTTGTTTGGACCCCAAACTTCACTCCCAAGTTCATAAGCTTTGGCCGCAGGTATCTTTCCATAGTTGTGTTCTTCTAAAGGGACCACAAAGTCCAGGTTAAGTGCAAGGAGACATTTCAGGCTTTTTGTCCCAACAAACCACAATAATAGGTTGCCCAGATGTCCTTCAAAAACCGTAAGACGTTTATTTTCTTCTTGTTATGGTGGTTTTTCCAAACTATGGCTGATAACCAAGAGTGAAGAACATACAACACCCTTGATTGACCTAGTTCGGAATGGCAGTTCTTGATAAATGGATTATCCAAGGAAGAAAAGTTACATCCTGGTTTGATGTTATCTTCAGCAGTTCCACGCGGCAGCTGTGTGTGAATTCTTGTCTTCAAAAGTTGAGGAGGTCTCATTTTCTCCAGTACTGAGTGAGAGAAAAAGAAAACATTAAGGAAGGCAATGCTTTATTTGATTACCCTACTACAAGCAATAATAATAATAATAATAATAATAATAATAATAATAATAATAATAATAATAATAATAATAATAATAATAATAATAATAATAATAATAATAATAATAATAATAATAATATCAAACACCCACATCTGCCTATCCCAGGTCCTTGGAAAGGACTCGATAGGTAGACAAAAATGCCAAATCCAGTCTGAACATCTGGCTGACTGTGCAATGATCAATAATAATAATAATAATAATAATAATAATAATAATAATAATATTAATAATAATAATATCCATTGTCATTGGGGCACTGGGAACTTTGTCCAAAAACTTTGCAAAATACATCAAGAAACTGCAGCTTCCTGCAATAACTCCAGCAATGCTACAAAAAACTGCGCTACTCGGAATATCGTATATTTTAAGGAGGTATCTGGTTGATACCTAGGATGCTGGCAGCAACCTGTGTCAACCATCAGTGCCAGTCAATTTGAATGTTCCATTGAGTGAGGTTCATGTCTAATGAATAATAATAATAAAGTTGGAAGGGACCTTGGAGGTCATCTAGTCCAACCCCCTGCTCAGGCAGGAAACCCTATACCATTTTGGACAAATGGCTATCCAGTCTCTTCTTAAAAACTTCCAGTGTTGGAGCATTCACCACTTCTGGAGGCAGGTTGTTCCACTGGTTAATTGTTCTCACTGTCAGGAAGTTTCTCCTTAGTTCCAGGTTGCTTCTCTCCTTGATGAGTTTCCATCTGTTGCTTCTTGTCCTGCCTTCAGGCGCTCTGGAGAAGAGCTTGACTCTCTCTTCTTTGGGGCAGCCCCTGAGATACTGGAACACTTCTATCATGTCTCCCCTCATCCTTCTCTTCATTAAACTAGACATACCCAATTCCAGCAACCTTATATGTTTTAGCCTCCATTCCTGTAATCATCTTTGTTGCTTTTCTCTGCACTCTTTCTAGAGTCTCAACATCTTTTTTACATTGTGGTGACCAAAACTGGATGCAGGATTCCAAGTGTGGCCTTATAAAGGCCTTATAAAGCAGTACTAACACTTCACATGATCTTGATTCTATCCCATTAATGCAGCCTAGAACTGTGTTCTCTTTTTCCCTTAACATTTACTGTCTCATATTCAGGTTAGTACATTTCTAATTATATCAACTCAATAAGAACATCATTGTTACATTTATCAATAAATTTGTGGCTTATACATATCTTAATTGCATTCAATCTTCATAAACAATCCATATCCTGTTATTAATTTTTACTCATTTTTTTAGTTTTTTATCAATATTCCAATTTAACCTTTGATATTTATAGTTTTCAGGCTTTGGGTAACCCAAATTTCTGTTATCTCACTTCGTAACAAACTATAATATCCAAAATACATATTTTATCTATTTGAATACAAGAGTTATCTAGTTCCCATCATATTAAATCATCTACTTAATAACACAATATCCCCTTTAATAAATCAAAATCATTATGTATATGTTGCCTGGGTTAATCAATAAATCAAACATATTTATAATATTTAACTTTCTTTTTCCTTTTTAAGACTAATTTTTAAATATTAAGCCAATGAAATCCTTATTTTCAACTAGTTTCCAAATATTATAAATCTAATAACCCAAATTCCCCTTATCTCAACGTCCCCCTTTAACCCTCTAATTGGCAATCTTTTCTATACCCCGCACCCCTAGAACGCTTCTGATATATTCTCGCACCCCTTACAAAAGTTCAAACAAATTATGCATATACAGTATGGCAGACATGTCAAACACAAGGCCCGGGGGCCGGATGCGGCCTGCAAAGTGGTTTCATGTGGCCCGCGAAGCCATCCTGGAAACAGTGAGGGAACGGCCCCCACTGCCTTGACCCTGGCCCAGGTCGGCCGGGAGCCAATGTACAATTTTGTGGTGGCCATCTATGCTGAAATGCATTCAGTCTTAGCTCCACAAGGCCATCCAGAAACAGCGAGGAACCAGCCCCTGCCGCGTCAGCCCCGGCCCCTGGGTGCATGCTGGGGAGGTGTCACCCTTTGTGAGGAATGAAGAAATGGACCAGGCCTTGGCGCTTGCTCCGGTCCCATCCCCTTCTGCCAGAGACCCTCAGATCTGTCCCACTCCTGCCCAGGCCCCCACAGGTACCCTTGACGCGAACAATGTAGAGCTGGCCATGCCCACCCAGTAGGCCACACCCACTCCATCCATGCCCAACCAGTAGGCCGTACCCACCCTGGCCACACCCACCCGGCCCCCCGAGGGCAACCGCAATGCTGATGCGGCCCTCAATGAAATTGAGTTTGACACCCCGCAGTACGGTATAATTTTGAAAACCCAAGTTTTCGCACCCCCTAGAATATCATTTGAACCCCCAAATGGGAAGCCCTGTACTCGTATATAAACAGAGAGCAAACCCCACTCCCTTCTAGCACTGATGAGGTTACCTAGTTGGGTCATGAAACAGTCTGCAAGAAAGCAGCCAAACTCAGACAGCGCCTAGGACCCAAGAGTTTAACCCTGAATCCCGAATATTCTCTTCTATTGATACCCAGTGGATGGCAGTTGAGAATGGAGCTTTTCTAACCACTTCTCTTAGCTTGGGAGCAGTGGTGGGATTCAGCCGGTTCGCACCACTTCGGCAAAACCGGTAGTTAATTTTTGGGTGCCCAGGCCCAGAATGGACTTCCGGAAGCAGCATCCACGCAGAGAACCGGTTGTTCACGAATTTGAATCCCACCACTGACCTGAAGGCAAGACAAGAAGCAATGGATTGAAACTGATCAAGGAGAGAAGTAACCTAGAACTAAGGAGAAATTTCCTGGATGATAGATAGATAGATAGATAGATAGATAGATAGATAGATAGATAGATAGATAGACAGACAGACAGACAGACAGACAGACAGACAGACAGACAGACAGACAGACAGACAGACAGACAGACAGACATAGTGATAGATAGATAGATAGATAGATAGTGATAGATAGATAGACAGACAGACATAGATAGTGATAGATAGACAGACAGATAGATAGATAGATAGATAGATAGATAGATAGATAGATAGATAGACACAGATAGATAGATAGACAGATAGACATAGTGATAGATAGATAGATAGATAGACAGACAGATAGACATAGTGATAGATAGATAGATAGATAGATAGATAGATAGATAGATAGATAGATAGATAGATAGATAGATAGATAGGTGGGTGGGTGGGTGGGTGGGTGGACGGACGGACGGACGGACGGACGGACGGACGGACAGACAGACAGACAGATACAGTGGTGGGATTCAGCCGGTTTGCACCACTTTGGCAGAACCGGTAGGTAATTTTTTGCTGCCCAGGCCCAGAATGGACTTCCGGAAGTGGCATCCATACAACCGGTTGTTCACCTATTTGAATCCCACCACTGCTTCGGAGTTATTATATTTTATTTATTTATTTATTTATTTAATTGAATTTTTACCCCGCCCTTCTCCTTGCGGACTCAGGGCGGCTGACAGCCTGATAAAAACAAATACAAAAAATACCCCAATACTATCGCTAAAAAACATAATTAAAATGAAATATTAGATTTGGCCTTTGTTAATTTAAAATTGTTTTTAAAACCCCGCTAAAAATTTCCCCTTAGGCCAGTCCTGCTAGTTGAAATAGCCATGTCTTAAGGGCGCGGCGGAAGGAAGGGAGATCCGGGATCACCCTGATCTCGGGGGGTAGTTCATTCCAGAGGGTGGGGGCTCCCACCGAGAAGGCCCTCCCCCTGGGGGTTGCCAGCCGGCACTGTCTGGCTGACGGCACCCTGAGGAGACCCACTCTGTGGGAGCGTACCGGGAGATGGGAGGTAATCTGAGGCAGAAGGCGGTCTCGGAGATATCCAGGTCCGATGCCATGGAGCGCTTTGAAGGGGATAATCAACACCTTGAAGCGCACCCGGAAAGCCACCGGCAGCCAGTGCAGCTCGCGTAGCAACGGTGTTACATGGGAGCGACGAGTCCCTCCCAACACCGCCCGCGCGGCCGCATTCTGGACTAACTGGAGCCTCCGAGTGCTCCTCAAG